ATGGTTCCAAAGGTTATCTAGAGAAGAGTTAGAGACCTGTGCCCAATAATTGTATTTAGATTGCAGTGTGTCTTTGAAGATGGACTGGTCTCATTAAATTATGGTTCTCATCTAAAGATATCACTGCTTTTTATTTACATTTATCAGGCTTTTATTTCTTTAGGTCAGTTCTGTTTTTTTTGGAACCTGGTCTAGTTGAGTTAGAGATGCCCCTTCCACCGCTACTCCAGAAACGGGCTCACGCTCTTCAGAGACAGCTGTTGTCTGAATCCCTCCTCCAAGAACTGGAAGTATTTCTCAAGAAACAGGTGGGAGGACCATTCCATGCAAATTAGTCCTATTAATTCTTTCATTTTTACGTTATACATTCACGATTAGTATCTATTATCTGATTTAAAATTTTATTGCAATTTTGTAATCTAGGATTAATAATAGAGGTGGGAAAGCTCTTATTCTGCCTGGTCCAATAACTATGGAATAGTGGATATGTCTTTGAGTGTGTTTTAGTATATTGTATATGTATGGCTATGTGTACCTAAGGAATATTGTGTCTGTATATGTATGTGTATGTGCAAATAGATAAACCTGGAGGAGTTTCTATATGAGTGGTATGGAGTATCTGTATGAGTATTTATGAGTCTGTGAGTAATTGAAGAGTACTGTGTGACTATTCAACTGAGAGAGACTCCATGCTTGTATGCTTGTGTCTAAGGGGTATTCTTTAGAGGTACAGCACATATAAAATTGGTATTTTGTGTGTGCAGCAATGATGTAGAGGGGAATGTTTGATTGTCGAACTATATTTTCTAAGTTAATGTTATTCTTTTTTTTTTTAGGGTAACCAAAAACCAGAGAAGCGGCACCTCAGTTTTAGTAGTGAGGAGAATATATTAAGGTAAGTGAAGCCAAAGTGATTTTACCATATTCAGTTTTTTCAAGACCCCCAGTAGTCATGGCCACTGACTGGATGCTGTAGTTCAGTGTTCCCCAACCCAGTCCTCAAGGACCACCAACAGTCCAGATTTTGCCAGTATCTCCATTGGAATAAAAGAGGGAAATACATAAATTCTGGACTCTTGGTGGTCCATGAGGACTGGGTTGGGGACTGTCCGGGTTGTCCGGATTAGTAATAATCATTACAGCTAACGCAAGGCCTGCATTCCACAGTGATAATGTGTGGCAAAGCTAGCCACCTAAGACTGTATTTACATTATGTGTTATTGTGCATTCAGACTGCCTGAACTGTCCATGTTACTTATTCTGTGTTTGAGGTGAACGAGAACATTCGTATGCTGGCGACACGAAAGCCACCAGCATTCATACAGTAGTTTCATGAACAGTGAATTTCAACACTGTTCGTGAAATGAACAAACTACCGAATGGGAGACCACACACAGGCCTGGAACTAAAATCGGCTACTCAATTGCACGAATACCACTGGACTTCCAGGCCGTTCGGGAGCACCAGTCTTTCGGTATTTTATCTCTACGTGTGTATTTGTGACTTTTATGAAGAATTTGTATTCAAATGTATTTTGTGCGGCGTTCGGCTAATTGTGCTGGGATCTGAGCGGTACTTTCACGAAGTATGCGCTCAGACCCCAGCTATCTGCCGAATGGTCATTCAGTACAATAGCACAAATAATATTGGAGTTATGGATTTGTATGTAAAAATCCAGTTCTGCTGTACGAAGGGATAATCCACTTAACTGGATATTCTAGTGGGAGTATCCCTCTCGTACAGCGGTGCATGGTGGGAGAAATGTTCTGTATGTTAAGTTCCCCATGTGGTCCCCTACTGTACAACCCCTGTAAAGTCAGTAAGGAAACCCCTTGCATGGGGACCCACATAAATACTGGAGCTTGTAAATAAAACTTCAGTTGACTCCCAGCCTATGTGTCGTCTTGTTCTTGGGAAGGAAGGATCTGTATAACGCTACCGGGATTATTGTATGCTGTACTTGTTTTATCTGGATTATTATATGCTGCTCCTGTCTACCAGCGGAGATACTGTGGATTATACCACCTCTCCGCTACATAATGTATCTGTTTTTTGTTGAAGTAGATTAAGATGTCATAGCCCCGAGGGGAAGATAAAGCCCAATCTATGGAGTCTCCTCCTGCATGTGTATGCCCTGTAATCAAAAAACATTCTATTCATATAATGGCTCATCAGTCTCATTTAGACTATCCATCAATTTTTCAATGATTTGGGGTATCTTTACTATGCATAGCCCCTTTGAACCATGTGCTTCCCATCTTTTTTTACATTAATTCATCTTCCCCTTACTTTTGCCATTGTCATTCCACACCATCTGTTCGAATCCTTATTTCAATACTTCTTCGTGCAAAATAAATCCTTTCTACAAAATAACCACCAAAAATCAATGAAAATCTATGACTGAATTAGAAGCGGCGTGTCATTTAGTTTCCCAGTGCACACTGTTCCTTTCTCATTTTCTCCTTAGATATTTATGTGCCTATTTTACTGTTGAGATGAAATTACATTTTTTTTCCCCTCTTTGCGTTCCACAGACTTTGTAAATATAAAATCCTAATTTGTGCGACCTGCCAGAGTTTATGAATCAGCCCTAGTGATGACCTACTCTGAATAACAAATATCCGTGTGGTCCCGCTTCCGACTCTCTTCCGAACTGCCATGCGAAATAACCATAGTACTGTATTAGACAGATATATTGTTTTTATAATGAGCCTCGTGAAATATGGCAGGCAAACCATCGTCTTCTAATCTAGTGTCAAGTGATTGGTGATCTGCTTATTGCTTTAGTTCAAGGTCACAAGCAAAGGTTACAAATTGTTCGAGGAAGCTTATTTCACAGGCTCGGTTATGGCCAACATGATTTTATGTGAATAATAACTGTCTATTGTACTTTCCATAAACCCAGATATTAAGTACGCAATTCCTCCTACAGCATTGTTTGCTTTTCTGCCTGTCTTTCAGTAAGAAATCTTGACAGACGCTCCTATATTGACACAAACACATTGCTAGGGAGACTGAGTAAATATAATTATTTCTTGCTATAGATATAGGTATATCTTATATGACTTCTAATTCAAATGCTTAGAGAGCAGTTATTGCATAAATTCTAAGCTATTACCATAGGCAAAATCCCTGTTATGTTTCCATGAATGTGTCCTGCGGAATTTAATCTTTGAAGTCGGAATTGTGACGAAACAGCACATATTACTCCAAAGAGAAATTCGAGTTCCAAACGTGTAAAAGTCGTGCTGATTCCTGCAGATGACTTACATTTTTAAATTCATTTTAAAAACTTTTTTTAAATTTCATTATTTTGACATTTTTCCCCATGGTGGAAGTGCAGTGCAGTAACAGTCAACACACTGGATTTGTGGAAAAGGATTAAAAAATGTAAATGGCAGTGATAATCTGTCAGCTAGCGGCCAAACTTTGATGTTTTGCTTCTTAAACCACTTAAAGACATTTTGACAAGAAACACAGATTGCATCCAAAGACTTTTTGCACCATATCCACTAGCTGTTTTTGTTATGCACTCAGTGTCCCTTAAATTTCAGGTTTTCAAATTATAATAGTTTTTCTTTAAATCTGACTTTTTAACAGTGGCATTTACTAACAAAATTAAAGGATCACTAAAGTGTCAGGAAAACAAGCTCATTTTCCTGACACTATAGCATCCTTAGAACCCCTCACCCTAAGGGTCCCCCTCCCCTGGCACAAACCCCTTCAGTTACTTACTTTAATCCAGCGCCATGCTCCCTCGTCGCTGGTGACCTCTCCTCCCCTGGCGACGTCAGCTCCCGAATGGAGCCGCATGCGCGGCAAGTGCTGCCCGCACATTCAAACAGTCCATAGGAAAGCATTTCTCAATGCTTTCCTGTGGACGTTCTGCACACTGGATGCGAATTTCGCATCCAGCATCGCAGATGCGACTCTAGCGGCTGTCAGGAGACAGCCACTAGAGGTTGGATTAACCCTGCTATGTAAACATAGCAGTTTCTCTGAAACTGTTATGTTTACATCTGAAGGGTTAAAACCTGGGGGACCTGGTACCCAGACCACTTCATTGAGCTGAAGTGGTATGGGTGACTATGGTGTCCCTTTAATGATCTTTTTAGTGCTAATACAATATCAGAAATAATTTTTTTAATATACATACAAAGATGTAGCTTTAATTCGACTAGATACATGTTCATTTAATTAATTATAACATTTGCAGTTTGAAAACAGCCAGTGTAAGTTAAAAGCATGTTACATAAATAATACTATAAACTATTCTATATCTAAAAATTAAAGAAATGTATTTCTCATTATATTTAAAAAGTCAAATGTACAATATTATCTTTGTGCATATTATCTATGCATTGTGCATAGTGTTTTGTCATTAAGCAGTGCTTCTAACCATAGAGGACTCAGGTGGCTGCTCAGTAGAGGCACACAAAACAGGTAATATCACAGTTTAACTTTTATTTTAACCCCTTAAGGACACATGGCATGTGCGACATGTCATGATTCCCTTTTATTCCAGAAGTTTGGTCCTTAAGGGGTTAAATAATAACAAATGGTAATTTTTCTATTCATGAGGCTCTGTCATTTTTTTTATTTCTTTAAATAATGTTGTGTTATACAATGGTAAGCCTCAACATTAAAATCACTGACAAGTGAAGTGAATAGCTTTGATTATATCGTTACAATAGCACTTGTCAAGTGGTGGGATAGATTAGGCAGCAAGTGAACAGCCAGTTCTTGAAATTCATGTGTTGGAAGCAGAAAAAATGTGCAAGCGAAACGATCTGAGTGATTTTGACAAGGACCAAATGATAGCTAGATAACTGGGTCAGAGCATCTTCAAAATGTCAAGTGAGGTGTTCCCACCCAGCATTTAGTGGCTAGTACCTACCAA